ATTGGGACACGCCCTTCGCGCTGAGTTGTATGTGCATGCACGCTCTTTACCGTCTTCGTCTTTGGGAGCTGATTTCAAGTGGGTCATTACTGTGTGCAGCCGGGGTTGATCGATAAATCATTATGCTTAATCAATCATTGTCACAGTTGTCGAAGTCTTGGCGAGATGCTTAAGCAGAAGCGCTCATTGAAGAATGGAAGAGTACCTTAGCTATTGAGTGAGTGTAGGAGTAGTTTCGAGAGCAGAGTGCTTTGGAGCAGTGCAAATCAAGGCAAAGGCCACCTGGATGGTTTTGTTCGATGCATGCTTTGGTTGTTTTCTGTTTTTTTTTTCTTTTGACGAGTAAATTGATGTCACCATGGAGGCATCATTCAATAATTCACAGTTAGATGTGAATCGACTTAGTGACATTGAATTCTACAGACGCCAGGGAGCAGGTCCCACACCTGAACCCCACCTATCGATCCATCAACTCATGGACCAACGGCTTTACTTCAGAGATTTTATGCCTCAGAAAATCCCGGCGACTACGATTGCACCTAGAGGCAGTCACGCTTACCACTTCACCAGCGCCCCGCTGTATGACAATTTGTAGACATTGAAATAAGGCTCCATAAATTGTCTCCTCGTAAGGATTTTCATAGAAGCCTGCTAGCCCGGAACTTTAGGGACCAGTGTGCACGAGAGATAATTGGTTTTGTTATGGAGAGCATGGCCTCATCAAGCAGATTACCTCAGCTTGTGAAGCGTAAGCCCAGCTAAAGAACCCAACAGTGACGTTGAAGGCATCATACCTACGGGTAGCGTTGCCAGTATTCCAGAATTTAAGGCGTCTGACCAGTTACGCAGATCACGTTTATTTTCAGATGTGTCGCAGATTTTTCCAAATTTTTTAAACATGCTGCTTATCGAAAGAAGCAATTTGATTTACCGTCTCATATAAAAATAAAAAGCCAAAGCTACCACCTACATTATTAAAAGCCAAAGCTACTACCTACAATATTGAAGGTAACACCATGTTTGCTGCAAAAAAGCAGTTCCACGTCAAATGACGAATCGGTAAAACTGGACCATCTCCAATTTGCATGAAACTTAGCATAATTGTTTGATATGAGCAATGATTAACATTTTTACTAAAATTAAGCCATTTTGGATCTTACTAAATTTTCATAATGGCGTCTTTGAAATTAATAAACATGCAGTACGCAAACGGCATTTCTGTTCGAGATGACGTCTGCGACAAATTTGAAGAGAAAAAAAAAATAAAATAAAAATTTAGCACTTTCTTGTAAAAGTAAAAAAAAAAAAAAAACTTTTACCTAAATATCTCAAAATGAGCATGTCCGATATTGATGTAGGATATCGTCTTTCGGCAACATATTGGGGGTGCAATTTCAAGAAACCAAAAGCGACCGCGTTACGAAAAGTTGTCAGGTTTTGACAACATATAACTATGTCAATAGTGGATGGATTTTAACTCTAAACCAGTCAATCGACTGGAAGTTGCTCTACGAATCTGCTTAAACGAATACATTAAAGTCTGTTCCAGTTAGTATTTGGTCGCTTCTTTTTAATTACTGTAGCGCCTCTAGTTGTCGTAGCAAGAAACTATTGACTTGATCCGGAAGGATTGTTTATTTAGTGAAAATTTCATCAGCATTCATACACTTGTTCAAAAGTTATCGAAGATGAAACGTGACAGACGTGAAAAAATTCTGCACGTGCAAAATCCAACGTGGTCAGGAGGAATGATTGCAAAGGCTCTCAAATTTCCAAAATCGACTGTAAATACCGTGCTTAAACGTTACCGGGAAAAACAAACGTAGAAGTGGAACATATGACCGAAAATTACGAGCGAAGGTCATAAGGACAGTCAAAAGAATGCTGGGATCTCCAGTCGTGATTTGGCGAAAAGGTTCAGTGCGGCACACAATACAGTTCGGCGAATATGTATGCGAGAAGGTTTCCAGTCGTACCATGCCAGCAAACATCCCAACAGGTCGCTGAAACAAAACCTGGTTGCCAAAAACAGTGCAAGGAAGCTGTACGAGCAAGTTCTGACCAAGTATAACGGATGTATTTTGATGGACGATGAAACTTACGTGAAAATTAACTTTGGACAAATCCCGCACTAATTTTTTTACTTTGCTAAATGTAAAGGGGATGCTCCGGATAAATTCAAATTTGTCTTTGCATATAAATTCGCACGCAAATTGATGATTTGGCATGGCATCTGTAACGAAGGCTTTCATCACTCCAGTGAATTGACAAATTTACAAGGATGAGTGCCTCCAGAACATAATTTTGCCGTTCATTAAATCACACGAAGGTCCCGTAAAGTTCTGACCTGACTTAGCCAGCTGCCATTACAGCCGCGAATAATTTAGATTTCATTGAGAAAAGTATCAATCCACCAAATTGTCCAGATTTTCCTCCCATTGAAAAATGTTGGGCAATTATCAAGTGCAAATTGAAGAAATGTGGCAAAACAATCAAAACACCATCTGATTTGGAGAAGTGGTGGAAAAGGATAGTAGATGAGGTTGACAGTACTACCAACAATCCATACGAAACTAACGATTTTAAATTGGCTCACTACTTGACTAACCTATTGGTCCCAAGCAAACGATTAACGTACCCCATTCTAGTCGAAATTCTAGTACTACACAATGTTTGTTTTGATTTGTTATGAAAGTTTGACAGATAAAATGAGGGGTTCATGGATTTTCCTATGTTTCGAGGGGTGAATCGATTAGCTTGGGACCGAAGAGAGTACCAGAGCTGAGCCAAAAAGTTAAGCACGTTTCTTCGGGACTTTCTAGTCTTAGAGCTACCTCTATGGTACTACTGTGCAAGGCATGATGAGAGGTATTCCGCGAAAAGTTCGAAGATTCATCGGAAAAGCTGACGAATATGATTTGTTGTATTTTTTTTTTTCCCTTAAAGCTAAATTAAATTCCTACAAAATGATACCTTGAGCGTTTTTGTACTTTATTTCCACTTGAAGAAATGACCTATTTTGTGCGGCCAAATTCTAAATGGAACAGATTTTATCAATTTTCAGTCGGTCACTATTGAAAATTACACAAATTTCCAACTGTTGCAAGGGTGATCTAAATTATCACCGATGGCTTGCAAAAAGTGCATTCCCTAAAATTATCGGAGGCGAACCAGCCTAAGGCTGAAAGCCTCCTAAATAAAGCTAAATTAATTAATTAATGCATTCCCTAACACAGATTTCAAACTCGTATTCTATCCGATCTCGTTGAACGGTGCTTATACAATCACCGTGTGTGGTTGTTAGCATTGGGCGATCTTGAGGCAAGAATCTATCTTAGTGAATCGATTAATTTTTTTTGAAAATAATCGATTCACCGAATTAATCAATCATTTTGAATCGATCTTTTTGAATCAATCTTTTGAATCTATTCATTTTTCAAAATGGCACAAAAATGTTTCAAATATAACGGATCATAGGAAAGTTAGTGAAAATTTAGTCAAGTTCAGTCTAGAGTTGATATTACGTTACATAAGCTATCTTGCTATGAAATTTCACCTATAATTGTCATTTAGATCATCATTTAGATATCCTTTAGAAATAAATTGTGTAGTACGTACGCAGTAAATGTTGTGAGTGTAACATACATCACTGCTAGGCATTAAAATAGATGTAGGTAAAAAAATACGAAATTTCAGGTTATGCTCATTCAACTTCATTTTATTCGACTTTAAAGTTTAGCATTTGATAGTGTAAAAAAAAAAATTAAGTAATTGCACGAGAAACCTCAAAGTTAAAACATTAAATGACTCACTCATTAGAATCAAACATAAAATATGCCTGGTCAGTGAAATAGGTGTGTTGCATAAAACTACAGTACAGAAAACTTGAAAATAATCGTATCAGTTTTATTAGACTAATGACGCTTAGTAACCGCTGTGCCCTCCATTGTTCAGTAGAACCTAGTTCAATCTTCTTGGCATTGACTCAACCAAGTACTGACAAGTTTCCTTTGGTACAGCATACCACTCTTTTTGAACTGTGGTCCATAGTTGATCCTTATTTTAAAATGCTTGACCAGATAAATTTCTTTTCAGATCTTTCCATACATTTTTGATGGGGTTGATTTCAGGAGATTGGCTAGGCCATGAAATAACCGACACTTTGTTTGCTCGAAACCATTACTTTACATACTTAGAATTGGGTTTCGGATCGGTGTCTTGCTAAAAGTGCCATATAAGAGGCATGGTCTCTTCTGCATAAGGGAGCATAGCCTCCTCCATGATTTCTTTGTATTCAAATCTGGTCATGATGGAATTAATAGGGAAAATAGGACCTACTCCATACCAAGACAAAAAAAAAACCCAAGCCATGATGCTACCACTTCCATGCTTTACGGTCTTTACCGTGTACCGCGGATCGAACTCATTAACGGATGGTCTACGTGAGAATATAGTAAATGACTATTTTGATTTCATTTGACATGTGGAAGTTTTCGCTCAGGATTCTTGATTAGGTAAGCGATTTAATAGGTTGTAAAATTCGTTATATTTGTTATAAATGAACGATTTAAAAAACGAAAGATTAACACATGAAACAAAACGATTAGATGGTCGGGAGTGTAAAAGCAGGTAAGTACTTAATTCAGATAGCCCAAAACTCATCCGAGAGGGGTCCCAAGAAAATTATTTGAGCCATGTGTGGTTCTGTGTGGTTCCACCAGTTTTGAAGAATAGCCTCTCTAATGGAACACTTGTTACAATTCTTGATAAATAGTCTCGAGCATGGGGATTAACACTACGGATTTTCTCCCATACTCGAGAAGGATCGACAGAATGTGGTAAACAGACTGATGCAATAAATTTTGCAATTTTGCCGATATGCCCCCATGGCGATCCAGTTCTGACATAGCAGAGAACTGATGAACCTGAAATATGTCATAAAGTGAATATAGATGTAGATTAATAACTTTCTTTACCATTTCGTCATGACTATCCCACAGGCCTCCGGTTAGTTTTGGTGGGGGTACAGATGTGTGCAATCATCGTATATCCTTTCGGTACTCTGCTCAGACACAATTTTAACTACCCGAGCGTGAGTTGAAGACTCCAGGTACAGGTCAATATTAAATTGGAAATGCAAATGAACTGATTTTTTTTGTTGGATCGAAACAAAAATCGAAAGAAAAGGATCGATCTAGTAGATTTTTGTCGTGTTTGAGATCGATTCAAAGAATCGATTAATCGAACCAAAAGAATCAATCTTTTGTGATTCGATCCCAGATCGCCCATTGCTAGTGGTGGTGTCCGGTCGGTCGTCATCAGCAGCAGTAGTAGCAGCTCCAGTACACAATGAAAGGCTCCCCGCAAGCAGCTATAAAGGCTGCCTTCAAGAACCTCGATTCACCGAAGAAGTAGGAAGAAGCCGCTCCGCTACTGATCGGATTCAGTAGCTCTTCATGAGTCGCTGTGGTTCATCTATGCCAAGTGCGTCACCTTCGTTCCAAATAAACATCATCCGTGTTGAACACCCTAATAGATCAGCATTACTCAACCATGACGAAAATACGGTTCTTTTCAGGACCAGCATAAATTATTTATGTTTAAGAGTTAATTTCCATTGAACGTTCGCTCGCCTTGCTGCCAGCCACATCACCCCCAAAGCTCTTTGATAATGTACCCAGCAACCAGACGTTTGTGGTCAAATGCGTAACAGTATTGAAGTGGTACATACAAATTCTCGCAATGATCGAATACCACATGACCTTGCCAATTACCCAGAAACACTTCAATTTAAGGTTAGGGTTTCTCCAGGACGCTAGAAAAAAAAATGCAAAAAATTTCGAATATATCTGATTGATCGCAAAAATCCTGCGATTGGACAATATTTTGCAAAAAATTCCCGCAATCGATTTTCCGATTTTGAAAAAAACCCGAATTTCCGTGCGTTTTGTGCACGATGTCGTAATGTCATCAGAAAACGTGGCGTTTCCGTGATGGGAAAAAGATTCCCTAACAGAGTCGTCGAATATTCATAACGAGCACCGAATCCTTCGTCAATTCAACGGTCTAATGTTTGATGCAGCCACTTACTATTTTGTTCATAGTTTGTGTCCGTAGTTTTTTTTTTAATTTTACAAAATTCAAAATGACCGAAATTTAGTAAAACTGTGAATGGTTGCAGCAAGGGGTGGTCACTCTTTATTTGGCGCCAACATTTTTCTCAGTGTACCTCAAGTGTGCTGCGCTGTGCTGAGAGTGCCAGCCATCGAACTGACTTTGTTTGTGAATAATTGTATGTTTGGCAACCCAGTACTTTGACAGTTCAAATGTAGTAATCCTATAAACATATAATCATATTATTTGGCAACGTGATTTGTTTTGTTTACAAAAGCTGCAAACACTTGCTGCGCAGTACAATATTCCAGCTTTGTGCGTGACTTTATCGTTGCTTACTCTACGAGATTATTTGTTTACGTTGTTTGAATTATCTGTAAACTGGTGAACTATTTTGGCCAAGTTTTGCAATAACCACCGTCGTAAAAGTGCAACGAAGTGTAGCAATTAGAGTTTTGTTTTCAGTTTCCGAAAAACGCTGAACTTCGCAAAAAATGGCTTGAGTTTTGTGGACTACCGTCGGATTTTTCTAAAGTGGATTCTATGCAGTATCTAGTTAAAATGTAATGCTTGTTCCAGTACCACTTCGAGCACACGCAATTGTATGTTGCTAAAGAATTAAGATATATTGCTGAAATAACAGAATCTTTGCGTACAGTCTTATTGCGCACTTCATACCAAATATGACAAAAATTCGCGTTTTCACTTATTAAAAAGGGTGTGCGAATTTTCTTCTAATTATCTTGATGTCTTCGGTGCACTAATTTCTTATGATACAAGCAATAAGGGCTCCGAAGACACCAAAAAGATTTAACGGAATCGTGTACTTTTATCACACTTTTTGATTTTTTGGGGCTGTGTAGTTACAGATGCAATCAGTAATATAGCCCCGTAACGTGGGTAGATCACCTTTTCGTGGTACGTTACGGGATGTAAGATCTACCACCGATTCCTAGTCCTAACTTCTTCAAACTAGGGGAACAGGATTTTTCAGTAATCAAAGGAACACATCTTAGTCCTTGTTACTTTTTATGCCTTGTTGATAGTGATAAGTCCTCGGGTTGCGTGGACCGAGGATGATCTTGAAACAAGGAAAAAATGAGTTAGTTAGTCTTCACCTATGTGATTCCTAATCTTCTATTCGTTGTTTCCTAGTTTGAAGTGGTTAAGACTAGGGTTCTGATGCATGGTCATTATCGGTGTCATGTCTTGTTTTTTTTGCTAAGGAATTTTGACTGACAAAGGGGCGCGCCTTTGGAGGGTGTTTCAACACTCCGAAGGGTATAAATAGCGGGACCTTTCAATTAGAATCGATTCCTTGCGATAAAGGCAAGAATGACAACTGTATCAAAACCGAATACTTCATCATTTCTCAATAGTGATGGTGTAATACGACATGCACTAAACTAAGGACACGGGATATACTACAATAGATCAAATTACTGGTCGCAGTGGTTTTATGTCCCGAACAGAGGAAAAAAAAAAAAAAATCAGTAATATAAACCGAACTGAAAAATCTATTAAAGCTATCCATTCACAAGTTTTTCTATAATTGTTAATTGTGCTTAATACTATCTTATCTTAACATACAATATTTTTTTTTTTTATAAACGTTTTGCTTGAATTTATTCCACCCCGATTACAATACTTTTCAACTCAATAAGAAATCATCTCAACATGTTCTAATCATAATGCTCGTTTGGCTTACATTTTGACAGTTCTCGCTGCTCGATTGGCTCAAAATGGCCGCTTCCGCGAATCTCTATACAAAGAATTACTATATAAAATGTTTTGTGTTGCTTTTTTTTCGTGTTGGGTACATTCATCACTGCGACCATTACTTTGATCTATTGTGATATTCCCCGTTTTTATATTGCTTTATCAGTTATGTCGTATCACTATTTTGTGAAGCGACCGACATAGACTGACCAAAAGTATTTTCCCAGCCAGGTATTACATTTCGAATGAAATGTACTACTTGACTGGGACCTGCATTCCAAATATCAAAGGGTTCTGCCAGCCCCTTATCCAGGAAAATGCGCCTTTTATTGATGATTGCTACACAAAAGCATAGCAGGTGTTCAGAGTCTTCCTTTTCTATGCCACAGAATCGACACATATCGTCTTGAAGTTTTCCTATTAACTTTAAATGATATTTACATGGACAATGACCTGTTATCAAAACAGTATAGATACTGAGATCTTTCTTTGATAGTTCAAGAATTATGCTACTCATTGAAATGTTCAGAATTATGAACCGTTTCGACTGCCTTACAATGGAAGAATTGTTCCAATTGCTCAACTTTCATTTTTTTTCCATTTCTTGATCTCCATTTTAAGAGAACAAGCAGAATGGTTCTGGTCCTGAATTGCTGAGATGATCGTGCCTGGCTAACGTGTCGGCTTTTTCATTCCCTTCAATTCCACAGTGGCCAGGAACCCAATATAGGTTTACTTGGTTTTGACAGGCCAATTTCGGAAGAGGCATTGCACATTCCCATACGAGTTTTGAATTGCATGTTGCAGATTTTAAAGCATTTAATGCTGATTGACCATCAGACATAATGCAAATATTCGAATGTTTATAATTTCTGCGCAAGGCATATTACAGAGCATTTAAGAATTGCTTGAATTTCTGCTTGGAACACGGTTGGCCAATAACCCATAGATATTGAGATAACTATCCCTGGACCAGCTCCCACACGATTGTTCAATCTTGAACCGTCTGTTTGAAAAACAGTTGATCCTGGACTGATGTTTGGTCCCCCACTTTCCCAAATATTACGATCAAACTCTGCTGCATTGTATAAACGATCGAAATTATATTTTTTCTCCATCCAGTCTTCTTTTTTTAATACAAGAGAATCAATATCAAACATTTTTTTAAATACTAAGGTGCCCTTTAAGATCACCTTCAAGGAAGTACTTTGTTCGTTGAACCCTTAAAGCACTCCTTTCAGCTTCTAATTGGATAAATTGATGCAACGTAAGTAGATAAAGTAGAGCATCTAGTGCCATACTCGATGTGCTGTTCATCGCACCAGTTATTGAGAGAGTAACAAGTCTTTGCAGTCTCCCCAGCGTCTTCGGAGCCGATTTTTCATTAGTTTTCGGCCACCAAACCAATGATCCGTAGGAAATTCTGGGTTTAACAATCGTCAAATAAATCCAGTGGATCATTTTTGGCTTAAGGCCCCATTTCCTACCAAAAGTTTTCTTACTTATCCAAAGAGCATTTATTGCCTTATTAACAAACTGCTCTATATGTGAATTCCAGTTAAGTTTACTGTCAAGAACGACTCCCAGATACTTGACTGCTCGTGAAAGTTCTAAAGAAGATTCTTTAAATTTTAAGTTATTTATAGAAAAATTCCTTTTTCATGTGAACGGTACAATAGTGGTCTTAGAAGTCAACCCTTCTTAAGTGCAGCACGACGAAACATAATTCAAAGCAGTTTGCATTCTATTTTTCTATGACATTATCAAATATTCCTCGTACCATTATGACTATGTCATCAGCAAAGCCAACTATCTCGAAGCCCTTTGCTTCTAAGTTTTTGAGAAGTTCGTCAACTATTAAAGACCATAAAATAGGTGAAAGGACACCTCCTTGAGGACACCCTTTTACAGCTCTAACTGTTATGGATGAGCTTCCAAGATTTACTGAAATTTCTCTTTTAGAAAGCATCCTATTAATCCACCTAACGATACTTTTGTCGAATCCACGCTTCAACATATTGGTTTTCATGGCGTTATAAGATGCATTATCAAATGATCCTTCAATATCAATGAACGCTGCTAGTGACATTTCTTTGGATTCAAACGATTTTTCTGGTTTTGTCACAAGCGTGTGAAGAGCTGTTACTGTTGATTTACCAGCTTGATATGCAAACTGATATTTACTCAAAGGAATTGTAATCAAGTACGTTGATTGTATATGCTGATATATTATTTTCTCCATTATTTTTAGCATAATGGATGATAAGCTGATCGGCCTGAAGGATTAAGAAGAAGTTTTGTCCTTTTATTAGCCTTCGCCAAGTTATCGGAATATAACTTAATCTTAAGCTTGATTTAAACAAGCCTGTTCAAATGGGTGCCATAGTTCCTTGAAAGGTACAAAAGAATCAATCGCTCATTCGACTCGTTTTTATGTAAAAGTTCTATTGGTCAGATTACGAGCGTCTTTCCTGGCAATCTCTAACCCAGTCGATTCATTCATTGGTGTCTGAACATATT